TTTGATACTGGTAATTTGGTTTTCTTCTTTTTTTTTTTAAATTAAATTAACCAAAGGTTTATCTATTTTACTGATTTTTTCATAAAACCAGCTCTTAGTTTTATTTATTAGTTCAATAGTTTTCTTAATTTCAATTTTATTTATTTCTCCTTTGGTTTTCAATATCTCTAATTTGGTGTTTAATTGGAGATTTTTAATTTGTTCTTTTTCTAGTTTTTTTAGTTTTATGCCCAATTCATTGATCTCCTCTTTTTCTGTTTTATTCACATAAGCATTTAGAGATATAAAGCTTCCCCTAAGAACTGCTTTTGCTTCATCCCATAAGTTTTGGTATGTTGTCTCATTATAGTAATTCTCTTGAATGAAATTATTGATTGTTTCCATGATTTGTTGTTTGACCCAATTATTTTTTAGGATTAGATTATTTAGTTTCCAATTATTTTTTAGTCTATCAAAATCTCACACCATATACCAAAATAAAGTCAAAATGGGTTCATGATTTAGATGTAAAGGCTGATACTATAAGCAAACTGGGAGAGCAAGGAATAGTTTACCTATCGGATTTATGAAGAACAGAAGAATTCATGGCCAAACAGGAGATAGCAAACATTACAAAAAGCAAAATGGATAACTTTGATTACATTAAATTGAAAATTTTTGCACAAAGCCAATGCAACCAAGATTAGAAGTAAGGTAGAAAATTGGGAAAGAATTTTTACAACCAGTCTCTCTGATAAAGGCCTCATTTCTAAAATATATAGAGAATTAAGTCAAATTTGTAAGAGTACATGTCATTCCCCAATTGATAAATGGTCAAAGGATATGAACAGGCAGTTCTCAGATGAAGAAATTAAAGCCATCTACAGTCACATGAAAAAATGCTCTAAATCACTATTGATTAGAGAAATGCAAATGAAAACAACTCTGAGGTACCACATCACACCTATCAGATTGTCCAACATGACAAAACAGCAAAATGATAAATGTTGGAGAAGATGTGGGAAAATTGGAACACTAATGCATTGTTGGTGGAGTTGTGAAATGATCCAACCACTTTGGAGAGCATTTTGGAACTCTGCCCAAAGGGCTATAAAAATGTGCATACCCTTTGACCCAGCAATATCACTTCTAGGGCTATATCCCAAATAGATCATGGAAATGGGTAAAGGACCCACATGTACAAAAATATTCATAGCAGCTCTTTTTGTGGTGTCAAAGAATTGGAAATTGAGAGGATGCCCATCAATTGGGGAATGGCTGAGCAAGTTGTGGTATATGAATGCAATGGAATACTATTGTGCTATAAGAAATGATGAACAGGCTGACTTCAGAAAAACCTGGAAATACTTGTATGGTCTGATGCTGAGTGAAGTGAGCAGAACCAGAAGAACGTTGTACACAGTAACAGCCACATTGTGCTATGACTAATACTGGTAGACTTAACCCTTCTCAGCAACACAAGGATTTAAGATATCTCCAAAGGCCTCATGATGGCAAATGCTATCCATATCTAAAGAAAGAATTATGGAGTTTGAAAGCAGATCAAGGCATACTATTTGCTTTTTTTTTTCTTCTGTTGTTTTTTGTTTCCTCTTTCTGGTGGTTCCTCCTATTGGTTCTAATTCTCACCTACAACGTCACTAATGTGAAAATGTGTAATAGGAATATATATGTATAACCTATATCAGATTGCATGCTGTCTTGAGGAGGGAGGTGGAGAGGGAGGGGGAGAAAAATTTAAAACTCAAAAGGTTATGGAAGTGATTGTTGATAATTTAAAATAAATTAATTAAAAATTTAAAAAAGGAAACATAAAAAAGACAAGAAAAGGTTTTTTAAATGAAAAGTAACACTGAACACCAACACAATCATGGAAACATGCTTAGTAACTACTGACATTTAAATTAGTTAATTTCAACATACCAAATATAAAAAACATTTTCAGCCACTGCCCTCAGTTTCTAACAGGGTACTTCATTCTTCTTATCTAGTTAGAGGGTATACCTTCTTCTTTTAGTTTGGCAGTTTAGTTTTGTGTTTTATGCTAGGCTAGATTCAGGCCAGTGTCCTAGTAATTTAAGGTTTGATAGTAGAATGAAATTCGACACTATTAAGTCATTCAAACACCCTTGTCTCTGAGTTACCCATCGCGGTCTAAGAGCCAAACCAAAGGGCCAGGCTGAAACCATATCTATATCCACTCAGGTGACTGAGAAGTGATGAGAGCTGCCTCAGTTCTTACTTCCCTGAGCCAAGGAAATCCCCAGAATAGTCTTAATACCCTTTAAGGAAAACAAGCCCAACTCAAATAAAGTTGGGGTTAGGCTATTATTCCCATCCCACTTGGCATTGTTTCATAAAGAGCAAAATTCTGCCTCCTATACTCATCAGCTGGCTGACAAGTCACTTACATCTCTTTGCCTCAGTTTGCTCATCTGTAAATTGAGTTTAGGCTCAATGTCCTCTAACATCCCTTCTAACTCTAAATCTATGATCCTATGAACTGCTGTCCCTAACCCTGTAGCTGAGAGAGGGTTAAAGAAACTGGAGCAAAAGCTGGAAAGATAGAAAGGGGAGCTACAAGGAAGAGAAACCATGAAGTCAATGTTATGATCCCAGATAACAGAGTGAATAGGGTATCTTTCCATCTTTCTGTCTTTTAAAAATGTTTTGACATTTTCAAAAAATATCAATTTTACCTCCCAAAGATCCCTCCCCCTACTCTCCTTCATAACAAAAGAAGTACAGTCAAGAAAAAGAAATTATTGTATTGGCTGTGGTCCTAAACATGGCTTCCTCATTCTGGGCCGTTAGTCCAACAGCTCTCAGCCAATGGGAAAGACGAAAAGTGTTTATTAAGAACCACCTATGTGTCGGGTGTTTTATAAATCTTATCTCATTTGATCCTCACAACAACTCTGAGAGGTAAGTGCTATTATTACCCTCATTTTGCAGTTTAGGGAAATTGAGGCAAACAGAGCATATGTGACTTGCCCTAGAACCAGCAGGCTAGTCAGCATCTGAGGTCTTATTTGAACAGGGGTCTATTCTATTCTGACTGCAGGCTCAGCACTGTGTCCATTGAACCACACATCTGCCTCAAACTTCACCATCAAGTCTTCTAAAGTAACAATAGGTCACTGCATTGATCAGATGACTGACGACTGAAGTTTTTTTGATGTTATTTTCTTTCTCATTATTGCAGTTGTCATGGGAATGGTTCTGCTGCTTTAAGTGACTTCACTATTTATATTTCACCAGGTTTCTCTGAATTTCCAAATTTGTCATTTCTAACAGAATAATACTACTCCACTACAATAATATAACTGTTTATTCAATCACTAGACTATTGATTCACCAAATGAGTAATAAAGACCTTCTGAGTCTTTACTGCTACTAAAAATGTTGCCGTAAGTATTTTTGAATAGAAGGACTCTTTCCCCTAGGCCTTTGATGTGTCACCTACACTAGCCTTATTTACCTATCTTCCTAGCACATAGGAGGTGTTTAATAAATCCTTATTCCTTTCTCTTCTCGGCTGAGACTATTGGAGTAAGAAGGCAGAAGGAGGCATACATTTTTAGACACACCTAGATATGTTGTATTTTACTTGCTTATGCTTTTTTGTTATAAAGGAAAGTGAATGGGTGGAAGGCAGTCTTTGGGAAGTGATAAATTCACTTCAGACAAACTGGACTATTCACTGTTCCTTCATCCCATTCTGCCTTCTCCTGCAGGGATAGCTATTATGATCTCAGACAAAGTCATGGTTAAAATAAGTTTCATTAAAAGAGATAAGAAGGGTAACTACATTTTTATCACATTTGCATAATTCTTTATTGTTTTATTATTATTTACAAAGCACATGGCTTACATTATCTCATTTGATCCTCACCAAAACCCTGTGAAATAAAAGGTACCACAGACAATGAAACAATATCAATACTGAACGTATGGGCACCAAATACTGCCTCTATGCATTTGTATAAGCCATCTCTCATAGTTGCAGGGGAGCTGCTTCCCCATCTCTACCTTTTGACATTTTTGCCTGTCTTCAGTTGGATTATTAACATCAGCCTCCTAATTGGGATTCCTCTCTTTAGTGTCTCCCTTCTTCAGTCTGTACTACCTATAGCTGCCACATTGATATTCCTAAAGCACAAGTCTGACACTGTCACTGCCCTGTCTTCCTATTGCCTTTAGAATGAAATCCAAACACTTCTGGTGGACATTTCAAGCCTGGCTCCCACCTTCTTTCTGCACTGATTTCATTTAACTGCCCTTCACATACTCTATAGTCCATAACACCAGTGTCTTGTCTCTCTAGCTCTTCCTCTCAGAATCCTTGTCCTCTTTCAGGATCCTGCTGAGGGTCCACTTTTTTTCTGTCTGAAGAAAGCCTATTATCTGGCCTGTGATATTCTGCTACATGGACAGTCTATAGGGCTAGTCTGTTGGCATGTAGATTTGTAAATTTGAATGGGATGGAGTAAGGGACCTAGTTGAGAAGACTTTACTAGGGGGAATTAGGAATCATAGAGGGAATTCAAAATCTCTGGTTGACCCTTGGACCCTCTGCTTTTGGAGAATTAGGCCTGACCATTTTAGGAAGGATCAGAGGAGAAGACAGAGGTCAATTTACAAAATCTTAACTCTATTGCAAAGTTCCTTGTGTAATTGGAAAGGCAACCCAATGTGCCAGCTCACTGGACCATCACCCAACTGCAGGCCCTCCAGGACTTCGTAAGACAGAGAGAGATGGGGAAAATATTTTATTTCTTCATATTCCTCAACCTGCCTAATCTTCCTGCCTTCTTCCTCCACCTTTTCCCCATACTTCCCAATTTCCCCCAACACTTCCTTTGGTCAACGCCAGGGCTTCATGAGGAAATTGAAAGAGGGGACTCCCAGCTATGGGGACAAGAGGTGACCAATGACAAAAGAATGGGGAAACCACAGACCTCAGGGAACTGTTGGAACCCAATGGCTAGAGGAATCCTTGCCCTTGTGTAAGGCTGGGGAGGAGCCAGTGAATAAAGGATAGCTCCTTCCTGGCCACAGCATCGAGGGCCAAGAGGATGAGGATGCAGAGTGGCTGGGCCATGCAGGTACCCCTATTGGTACTGGGGCTGCTCAGCCTGAAGAATCCATTTATCTATGCCCAGGAGCAGAGGTACCAGGATTTGGTGAATGAATTAATTCAGGAATACAACAAGAAGTCAGGATCAGAAAACCTCTTTCGTCTCTCAATCCTGAATCTCCCGTCTGGGGAAGTGAGTAGCATTGGGATGGCCGGGGAGGGCTCCCCCTGCCAAGATGGAAACCTCCAGAAAACCTTGGTCTCCTCACTGGGAGACATTGTGATCTGGTAGTAAGAGAGGGACAACTAATTCACAGAGTGTATAGAGCACTAGCCCTGAAAGTCAGGGAGATCTGAGTTCAAATGTATTCTCAGAGACTTACTAACTGTGTGACTAGGCAAGTCATTTAACATCTGTTTGCCTCAGTTTCCTTTACTGAGATGTGGGGATAATAGTGACACCTACCTCCTACAGTTGTTGGGAGAATTAAATGACATAATAATTATAAAGCACATAGGACAGGGCCTGGCATACAGTAACACTTTATAAATGTTCGCTATTATTATTATTATTATTATTATTATTATTATTGGAGTCACAAGACCTGAGTTCTCATTACACTTTTGACACATTTTTCTGACTCTGAACAAGCTATCTTCCCTCTCTGAGTTTCAGTTTTCTCATCTACAAAATGGGGATGATAATCCATGCCTGGTGTATCTCAGAGTATCCTTCTGAGGACTTCCCTGCCTTGAATTCCCTTCCCTTCCCCCTCACTTTCCAATTCTGCTCCCACCTCAGAGGAGAGCTCAAGCTCCCCATCAGTGACACCAGGCCGAGGGATTTCTCTTTCTGTCTCCACATACCCTACAGCCCTGTACAGGATCACAGGCTGTCAAGTTGGAAGGGACCTTAGATGTCACTGAGATTCACCCCCTTTGTTTACGAAGTAGGAAATCATGGTCCAGAGAAAAGAAGGGTAAATAGCAGTAAGTAACAGAACTGGGAATGAGGGAATGACCAAATGAAAGAGTGAATGAATGAAAAGGCATTTCTGAATCCAGGGCTTTCCTTGTTTTAATGATTTCCTATTTATCCTGCACATAGCTTGCTTTGTATATGTTTGTTCATATGATGTCTCCCTCCCATTAGATTGCAAGCTCCTTGAGGGCAGGGGCTGTTTTGTGCCTCCTTTGGCTCCACAGTGCCTCGTACTGGGTGCTTATTGATTGATTGAATCCCTTGCTATGTCCCAGGAACAATGCTAAGCACTCAGGACACAAATAAAACCCAGGGCTTCAGACTCCAAATCCAGGATTCTTCTCATTACTGGAACTCTCATGTGGCCCTGAGCAGGTTAAACTGGCATTGGTTTTTTTTTCTTTTTAAGAGTTTTGGTCTCCCAACCAGCCTGAGGTGTCCCCTGAGGACAGGCAATGTGGAAGCTTAGCACTGGGGACTGCAGAAATCGTTCAGTAAACACTGGTTGGATGAATGACTGTTCTGGATGCCCCCAGTTCTAACACTGGTAGCATGTGACCTTGGACAAGTCATTTAACTTTCCTAGTTCTTAGTTTCCTCATCTAGAAATCGATGGGATCAGACTACATGGTGTCTAAGGTCCCTTCCAGCACTAAGTAGCTTGATCCTGGCCCCACAGGCCCTCAGGTGAGGCCTAGGTCTAAAGGTTGTGCTGCCTTCCTCCCCAGAACAATGATGCTGCTGCTCCTCGACTTCTGAGCTTCACCATGAGGGAGACCGTGTGCCCCAATACTGAAAATCGCAATCCAGATGAATGTGACTTCAAGGAAAATGGGGTGAGAGTGTCCTGTGCTGGGGAGGGAGACTGACTGAATGAGTCTCTTTCTGGAGACGTTGCCACCTTGGAGCAGGGAGGGTGCTGAGCTCTGCTTCCTGCTGCCCTGAGCAAAGTGATTCCCCCAAGATGAGCAGCAGAAAACCCTCCCAGTGCGCTGGCTTGGGGTAAAGCTTGAGCCTGTTGTCAGTCCTGGCATGTCAGGGGCAGAGGTTGCAGACTGGCAGTCCTGAACTCTCTCTGCAACCCTTCACAGGTGGTGAAAGAATGCCTTGGAGCCATTGCCCTGGATTCTCCTAAGCCCTCTGCTAATATTTCCTGTGATGGGGTAAGTGCTGAATCCTCAGTGGGGGCTGGAAGAAGAGCCTAAACCTGCAGTGTCCACTAGGGGTCTATGGTGCCTTCTGTCTTGGGGGCTGCTGGGACTGATCTGCAGCTGGAAGGGCTTGGGACCGACTTTGACCATGCTGCCCTCTCCAACCTTAGCCTCAGCTTAGCCTCCCTTTTCTTCTTCCAGGTTCAGAGGGCTGTAGATACAGAGGCAGGAGCATTTCTCTCCCCCATCCACCTCACCCAACCCCAGCTCTGGAGCTAGAGAGGTCTCTGGCTTCAGAGACCTAGGGGAAGAGGGAAGAAGAGAAGGATAATGGGAGAAGAATGGCTTAGACCTGTTTCCAAAGAATCAGTCCCAGGATTTTGAACTGGAGGAAGCCCCAGAAATTATTTAGTCTAACTCCTCCTCCCCCAATTTACACAAAAGGAAACTGAGGCTCAGAGATATGAAGTGGTCTTACCCAAATTCAGAGAGCTAGCTAATGTCCAAGCTGAAACAGGTGTTCTGACTCAGTCCAACCATCTTGATAACCCCAAGAGCTCAGTGATGAGATGGGGTAGGAGAACTAGGCCAGGATGGGCTGGGGGTACAGCCTGTGTTCCTGCCAGTCACTCTGAACAGGGGGCTGTGAGTTCAGGTGTGGTCATGCCAGGGGCATAGTCAATGTGACCTCTTCTCAGGGTGCACCTGGAGGATAGAAGGTTTTAAGGGGTGGGGTAAGGACTTCTCATTGTCCTCTACATCTCATGGGCACAGAAACAGGAGGACTTTTCATCATTTTGAAAATGAGCATGAAGAAGCCCCTGAGACTTTAGTTTTGTGTGCTGCGTGGAGCACTGGGTTTAGAGTTACAAGGCTGAAGAGTTAGGCTTGAGTCCTGGGTCTGCCAGCTGTACCACCATCTGTCTTGTTTCCTCCTTTCTAAGGGGGGAGGCTGCAAAAGAAACTGTGGAGGGCTCTCGAAGTTCTCAGTCTCATGAAGTTCTAAGTTACTCCACTCCCTGGTAGGCAGGTTTTTCTTCCCTCCTCTGCCTGACCCCCAGAGGCCTGGACTAAAAATGTCTGTTTCTCTCCCTCTGCAGCCTGAAAAGATCAAGAGACGTAAAAAAAAGGGATGGAAAAATGTGGGGAAGTTCATTAACAAAGTATTGAAGCACTTCAATATTGATATTTGTCTGAATTGTTAGACTCCCATTTGAGATTGAGCCTCAGTTTCTGTTTAAGGCCCTGCTCTCTGCCTTGTGCTCCTCAGATTAATAAACTCCAGTTTTACTCTCTCTGTCTCCATGTTTTCTCAGACTTCATCCCCCATTCAGCTCATTTCTGGCTGAACATTTAAGTACTCATCACGTACTCTTAGACTGCACGTAAAAATATGAAAACAACCACCCATAGTCTCTCCCCTTAAGGAGTTTATAAACCAGGAAGGGTGGGAGAGGGAGCTGACATGTAAGCACTCAATGTACCAAGAGGCTGTTGTGTTGAGACCAGGATACATCTAGACAAAGTGGTCTAGGAAAACTGAGAGACAGAGATCACTTTCTAGTTAGGCCTTGGGGAGGGGCAGCAATGGACCTTTGAAGGCTTCCTAGAAGAAGTGGTGTCTGAGCTGGGCCTTGGAGGAAGAGAAGGCTTTCAGCAGGCAGACAGGAGAAGGGATGCATTCCAGGCACAGGGAACTCTCTTTGGGCAGGTGAAGACAAGGCTATGGAACAGCTAGAAATCTAGTCTGCCAGCAAAATATTTAGAGCATTAAGGGGTGTAGTTTGTAAAGTGTTCTAGTTAGGAAGGGGCCAAGAGGGTCTTACATATCAGGCCTTCCCCAGGAGTTTGTAATTTATCCTATACGTAATAGAGTGTCTCTGGAGGCAGGGGAGTGACAAAATTATATCTTTTCATTAGGAAGATAATTTCATTAGGAAGCTCTGTCTAGAATGGAGTGGAGAAGGGAGGGATTAGACACAGGGGGACCAGTCAGGAGGCTATTGCAATAGGTGAAAGGTGATGAGGGTTTGCTCTAAGCTGGTGGTTACAGGAATGGAAAAGAGGGTTTGGATGGGAAATGAAGTGGACAGGTTATGGTAGCAAACCCCTCACTTGCCCTAGTATTTACTCATTTCTAATGCTCTGACTGAGAGACTCCCTGTCCCTACTCTAGACTTAATAGGCACACAGTCAGCAGAACTCTCAAGTTTTCACACATCCCCTCACTTTCACCTCTACAGAGAGTCAACTCAAATGCCGGGGAGTCTCTGCATGTACTGCCTTTTCTTCAGCAGCATCAAGGGAATGAATACCTGTGACTGCATGGCCAGTTGTAGCCTGGCAAAAGAGCCCAAACAGCACTGTAACTAGGATAGAGTGGTGGGGGGTTTTGTCTGGGGAATGGACTTCTAGAGGCATGATTAGTCCCTGTGACAATCCTCCAGCTTGGCCCCACTCCCTCATATAGATCCAGGCTTTCATGAATGCTCCCAGGGGTCCCTCTGTTCTAGGATCCTTCTCCCTGGGCTTATACTCCCAGGGCACTCCTATCCCCAAGCTTTCCCCTCCCTCACCCCATTGCCACATCCTCCTAGGAACTGGTGTTCTGGCTACCATCACCTATTCTTTCATAGCATGGGGCACAACTGCACCTGGGATAGATTATCTTTTTTGTTTGTTTGTTTTTTAGGCAATTGGGGTTAAGTGACTTGCCCAGGATCACACAGCTAGTAAGTGTCCAGTGTTTGGTCTGAGGCAGGATTTGAACTCAGGTCGTCCTGAGTTCAGGGCTCATGCTCTATCCACTGAGCCACCTGGCTGCCCCTACATTATCTTTTCATCTCAATTCCCCCCACCCCTAGCTGAATATGCCTTGGGCTTAAGATTCCTACTCTTGATTTAGATCCTGTCACAGCCTCTAAGTCATAGTGATTTTGTCTTTCAACGAGGCAGTGCCCAGATTTGATCACACACATTCAAAATGACTCAAAATGACACTCCTGTATCTTTGCCAAGAAAACCCCAAATTGGGTCATGAAGAGTCTCACACCACTGTTGAACAACCATCCCCATTCTACAGGCTTACTTGCCTTTAGACTTTACCTAACATATTGGCTGTACCTTTCTAATCTCCTTAACTTAATATGTTATATGGTTATCTGGACTGATATCTTATCCCTGTATTCCTCAACGTCTGGTTTAGTCTCTGTACGGTATCTATAAGCCCCTACCCTGGTGTCACAGATTTCTCCTGACAACCTCCAAAGTTGTCTTAGACTAGAAAAAGTCTCACCCTGACCTTCTGTTGACTCTGCCTCTCCAGAATCTGATTTAAGGTGTTATTTTAAATTTGTTTGTAGGCAAATGTTGGGAGAGTTCGTCTGGGTTGTTGCCTCTACTCTACCATCTTGCTACCCTCCCTCCCCCCTTAAGAGTATAGTACTTATGCATTATATGCTATATACCATATAGTACAGTACTGAGAGTACTGTGGAAAGTCCTCATCTACTTTGCTAAAGCAAATTGAATATGAAAAGTTCTCCAGGACTTGCCTGTTTCATCTGTAAAATGGGACAATAATCTCTGTTGTGCCTACTTGCACAGGACGTCACAGATATCTAGTCTAATCCATACCCTCACAGACATCCCCTTTACAACATGGCTGACAAGCAGGCATCCAGCCTCCTTTGGAAGACCTCCATTGATGGGGGACTCCTTACCTATAAGGTGACCAATGCTACTTTGAGATAGTTCTAGTTTCCAGAAGGCTTGTCTTTTATCTAGCCTAGATCTGCCTCTCTATAACTTCTCCCATTGACCCTGGGAGCCAAGGAAGCAAGTCCAGTCCCTTTCCCACCTGACAACCCTTCAGATAATTGAAGACAGGGATCCCATGCCCAGCAAGCTTTCCCTTCCTCAGTTCTTTCAGCTATTCCTCATTTGGCCTGGTCTCTACCTCCCTCACCTCTTGCTTATTCTCCTCTGAACTCATGGAAGGATCAAGGCAGATCAGGTGAAGGCACTTCAGAAAGGACAAAGAAGATGATGTGACTTTGTTTTCAAAGGGCCAATGAAAACAAGGCAAAAAACCAGGCTGGGTTGTGAAATGAAGTCTTTATTTACACAGAAAGGGAACAAAGGCTATCAGCATTTATCCAGCACCAATTACATATGTGCTGGTTCTTTACAGGTGGTATCTCCCTGGATCCTTACAACAATCCTGGGAGGTAAGTGCTCATATTATCTCTATTTTACATTGGGGGAAACTGAGACAAACAGAGGATGAGTGACTGGTCCAGGACTGCACAGTTAGGAAGTGTCTCAGGTCTTATTTGAACTCAGATTTTTGGATCATTTATTCTTAGAAATAGATGAAAGCTGCTTTTTGACAATTACAGAAACACCCTTTTAACACCTTCCTTTACCAATTTTTTGAAGCTCATTCCCAGTTTTTTAGGGACCCTTCTTTTGGCTTGGACAGGCTGCAGGATAAAGAATAGAGAAGTTTAGTATTTAGGGAATACTGGTAATAACTCCCATTTCCCTAGTTTGACAAACCTAGTAAGGTAGTTACTACAAATATTTTTGTCCCCATTTCCCAGCTGAGGAAACGATTCAGAGGAGGAAGTGACCTGTCTAGACTCACATAGCTAATAAGCACCTAAGTAGGACTTGAACCCAGGTCTTTTGACTCCTAGATCAATGTTCTTTGTGATACATTCTCCTGCCTTTCTAAGTAAATAGTTGCAATTTAGGAATTTGCAGTATTGAAACCTCTAAGGATTCTGCCTTTCCTAGAATAGTTAGACACTCTCTGTCTCTTTCTAATATTCTTTTTTCTCAATTATGTGTAAAAAAATTAGCATTTGTTTTTTTAAAATTTTGATCTCCAAACTCCCTCTCTACCTTTCTTTTCTACTCCCTCCTTGAGAAGGCAAGCCATTTCACATAGATTATACATGTGAAGTCATGCAAAACATTTCTATACTAGCCATGTTGCAAAAGAAAACACAAACCAAAAAAAAAAGCCACCCAAGAAAAACAAATTTTAAAAAGTATGTTTGATCTGCATTCAGACTCCTCAGTTCTTTCTCTGGAGGTAGATAGCATTTTTCATCATAAACCCTTCAGAACTGTCTTGGATAATTGTATTGATGAGAATGGCTAAGTCATTCACAGTTGATCATCCTACAATATTGCTGTCACTGTGTACAATGATCTCCTGGCTCTGCTCACTTCACTTCTCATCAGCTCATATAAGTCTTCCCAGGTTTTTCTGAAACCATCTTGCTCATCATTCTTATATCACAGTAGTCTTCCATTACATTCATATACCACAACTTGTTCAGCCATTCCCCAATTGATGGGCCTCCACTCAATTTTTAAATCTTTGCCACCACAAAAAGAGCTGTTTTAGGGAATAGGTATTGCCCCTTTCTAACGCACTTATCTAATCTTGTGGTTTTTGTCCTCCTTCCAAAGTGTAAGCTCCATGAGACTAGGGACCGTATTAATCTACATTTTTTAACTCCCCTGCCTTGCACTGCATTCTATATGCAGTAGGCGTTTAATAAATGTTTGTTGTACTAGGTTGTACTCTATACTTCAAGACACAGTTCAAATCTTACTTCTTCCCCAAACCTTCCAGCCCACACCTCAGTTTTCCTTCTTTGGACTCCTGTCTATTTCATCTGTAGCACTCATCCAGCCTTCCCCTATCCTGGTTACTTACTACTTATGAGATTTGACACAAGAAATTATTTGGTCCAACCCCTTTCTTTGACAGATAAGGAAACTGAGGGCCTAGAAAAAGTTAAATGACTTGCCCAAAGTAATCCAGACAATCAGTGGCAGATGTGGGAATCAAAGCCAGGTCTTTGGGCTCTAAACCCAGTGTTCTTGTTACCAAACCACACTTGTTAATTGATTAATTCTAGCTAGTGGTCTGAGCATTTCCCTATTGACCCTTCCCCTTTTGGCTTCCCTGTCTGATGCTGTAGGACCAGGAATGGCATCAGGGACCACTTACCATCTGACTTGCCAGGGGCACACACCTGACCCACACATTAGCTTCCTTCTCATCGATGTCTGTGATTATTCCCTGACAATATTTCTCCTTCTGCAGTTGGAGAGAGAGAGAAAGAGGTCTGTATGGACCTCTTAGGCCTCAACCACATGGGAACAATAGGAAATACACAGTTCACACATGCTCCACTCCCTTTTCCCATTCCTCTCCGAACCCCAGTCATAGGTCCCTGGCTCTGCTTTCTGCCATGCTTAGGGAATTAGGATGAG